AGGAAAAATGAAGCGGTACTTGTTTGGTTCTTACTGAAAGAGAATCGCATCAGGTATTGCGGGTGTTTTCTTACAACAGATTCGGGAAACAAGTTCCTGATGGCTGCTATAGACTATTTCTCAAAGTGGCCATAATTAGTTCCAAATCCCATTCAAGAAGCGGTTACGGTTGCTTAACACATTGACGGGCGCTAGGCAAAAAAGCGGATCCTGTGGAGGACTCTATAATTTTTCTATATTATTTCATATTTTTTTCCCATGGAATGGACGTGTATGGACAATTCTCAATATTTTTTTTTTCATTTACTGGGACACTAAAAATAATCATGTTTATTGCATAATAGCATAGGAGTCTGCTTTCGCAGACGCGTCCATAGACACCTGTCTGCAAATGCAGACACGCTCGTCAATGGGTTAAGCATTCCTGGAAAATATCATTGCCGGGGTACCGATGGAACTTCATACCGCTCAGGCAAGAAATTTTAAGTCCGAAATATGGAAACAACTGATGCGATCACTTTAAATAAGAAAAACATTACAACGACTCCACTTCATCTACAATCCAACGGAATAGTCGAGAGACACAATCGGGTCATCAATGAATATGTACCCTTCGATGTTTGTGGATAAGCAATAAGGAAATTGGGGCAAACTGTTTCCCCTTTGCCTTCTGACTCAAAGAAGCTATCAGCATGATTTAACCTGTCACAATACCATCGATACTATTGACTAGAAAAGAAATTAAGCTTGCTGTAGATCTAATGTTTGATAGTACAGCAGCCAATGTAGTTTCAGTTTACGTAACTGATCTCGAGGACAGGCTCAGAGTAGTTCAAAACTTTGCCAGTAACGGATTGAGTCTGAGCAGCGTCAGAATGAAAATGAGTCCCGACATACGACAGCCATTGAATACCTTCAATAAAGGCGACGCAGTCTGGTTGTCCGGCCATAGCGAAGAAAGTCACTAAGCTCGAAATTACAAGACCGTGGAAAGGATGGTTAAGAAAGAAGATCAACGACTTGGTGTACTGTAGATTACTACAAGGGTGAGAATACACTGCGAACAGCTTCAATGGAGGGTGCAGTGTTATAAATCTCTGAACTGCCTGATAACTAGATGGTAACTAGAAAATTTTGGCGAATGGCATTTCACAACGTGATAGTAAAGAAAATTCGAGATGAACGGAAGCGAATTATCTAGCCAATTCTATAGGAGCAACGAGGCGCTATAATATAAAACTGAGTCGGCCTTCTAGGGAAAGACTTAGCCAGTGTCGTCACTTATAGTCCAGGCGGCAAGTACTTTCTGCTGGAAAGTATTCCGAAGTTAATGATATTTTGGTATGTCATTTTGTGACCTCGAGGACCCAGTGCTAGCTTGGGTGAGAGGGGGGGGGGTCGAAAAACCACGACATTTTCGGACTTTTTCCGTTTTTTACATATATTTTTTAAACCATGTGTTTTAGCGGAATACACCTGGTTATAAAGTTGAAGAACATTAAATTTCCTTCAAATTTCACTAGTCAAACGTATTATTTAACGCAATAGTAACCGAGATGCAGTGGTTCAAAGATACAGAAAAATTCTCAACTTGTCAAAAATTTCTTCCGGTTGACCACAATTCAAACCAAGCATGGGATAAACATATTTTATCCTCATCTCTTCCACGTACACCCACAGACGATATATATTGTCTTCTGTGCACCTGAATTATTTTCCGTGCTAACCGCAACTAAAAGCTCGAAATTTTCGGACTTTTCCAGTTTTTTTCTTTTATCTTTTCAACAAAGTTCAAGCAGATGGTAACTTTTGTGGGCTTCCTTGCATTTCCAGCCATGTTTGTACTTGCAGGTATGTCCTATGAAAGTGGTGTTTGGCGGCATCTCTTGTAAGTGGTAATCTGGCAAGTTGAAGTTTCGAGTTTGCCAAAACGTTTGATGAGAATGCTCGATTCCGCAGATCCTCCAAATTATCTGCATCTGAGTAACTCCGTACGATTTCACTAGGAACTTCTCTACAGCTTCAGTAATTTGATGTGGTCTTGCGTCAGGATCTTTAAAAACATCATCTATTCCTGAGAGCCAAGGTTTTTTTTATAAACTTGCATTACCTTCTTCTTTCTAATTTCGGAGAGTGCTGGAGTGGTGTAACATCCACTTAGTGCGCGAAGAAAGAGAATATCCTGAGTGTTGACTTTGCAGGAATGGAATGAATACAAAACACTGGGGGTGTTACCTCTGCCACTCTTCTGGAAATAAATGTTCTTCTTAGAGAAAGCTGACAATGTCAGTAAAACCAGAAGATCGATGTCTTCTCCTGTTATGATGGCACTATCAAAGTCGGCAGATTTTGATGTAGCAGTTTTCACTATCATAACATCGGCATCTTCTGTTGCCTGCTTCGCCTGAGTTCCCTTGGATTCCATTTTAGTAATCAGCATTGTGATGAAGTTTTTTTTGTTAGTATAGTTGAGGAGAAATTTTTCTTCTGAAATGGTAGGAACAAATATTTTGAAAAACACAAACTTTGACGATGAGTGCAGCAAATATCGTCGATATCGTTCTACTGCTTTGGTGCTTTGGTAACTTGTGTCAACAAGATACCCTTCAAAACCACTATAGCATTGCTCCCGAAGTGTCTTTGAACATAATCCACGTAATTCTGGCACACCAATTCAAATGTCGTGTCTCTTGATTTGCTCCGCACAACCATATCTGGCAGGTACCCACCATCAATAACTGCGCATTAGCCAAAGTCTACTGGTTCTTGTATAGGAATGAATGCCGCATACAACATTGACTTTGTGCTCTTGTACATACCTCTGTCTGCGAAGAGAGACATCGGGAAGGGGGCTAGCTCGTGTTTCTGAGGTCCAGTTAGGTCGGCTGTTGGGCTGACTTTCATGCGAACTACATTTGTCTCACTGGTCACAGCATTTCGTGGGGTGACGGCCATTATTCCTTCCATAGCGTGGGATGTACCTTTTCCATCTAGCTTATTTACATTGAAGTCGGCGTTGTCGAAAATGAACTGACTGAATGGATGGGCTGACTCATGAACTATGGCTTTCTCCGCCTGCAGCACATAGGAACCCTCAATTCTAGAAGCTTCGTCGGTAGCTGAAAATCCTAACTTCGCTAGGAGGTTTACAAGAAGTTTCGATCCAAACTTCTTGTAAACATACGTTGTAACCCCAATCATAATGGGTGACAAAAATAATAATGGCATGTGCCAGAGCAAGACATTTTTTCTTCCTTGATTCCAGTGGTGCACCTTTGTTTGTCAAAATGATAGTATTAAGAAAAAAAAGCAGTGTCTCCGGAACAATATGATGAGAATCACCATAAAAATTATCAATTGGGTGATGAGCTTCAGTGTTAAACAATTAAGATCGGATTTCTTCTAAAATAATTTCACCTGCAGTTTTCATAATTCGATTTCTTTCTTCTTGAGGGTCTCCGTTTTTTTCGTTCAGGTAGGTACCACTTGTCAAACAAAATTCTGTGGCCAATGTTCTTGAAACATACGACACTTTCTCTGTTGAGTGAACCAGAGATGATTATGTCATTTTCATACTTCTTCTCCAGGCGCTTAACGTGTGGACGAAAATTTTCGGGTACCTTATCAAGCAACTGCCCGAGAAAAAACTGGCATCGTCACAGTTCTCCTCGAGAAAACTACATATAATTTCCATGGCTTGTTCTATGTTGGGAGAAAGTTGTCCCGTCTTTTTGTGGACACGTGTAGTTATTTTTTTTCAATTTTGAATACACTTCTAGTGGTTATACAAGTCACTGTACATTATTCCCATATGACACGAGAGGCTTAACAAGTGATAAGCGTTTTGGGATTATCGCGCTTGGTGGCATTTATGGGAAATTCTATTACAGAATTTTTTTTTAAATTTTAAAGTATTACAGCTGTATGCAACATCCTCTTTTAACTTAAAAGCGCTTTTTAAAACTGGTCACTTTTAAAAATGTGTATTCTAAACCATATAAATTTTTAGAGGTACTGGTTTTAAAAAGCGCTTTTAAGTTAAAAGAGGATGTTGCATACAGCTGTAAAAGTTTAGTTCGTTGTATAACCTTTTGAATACCACTCGATGTTTCAGGATTACCTAATACTTTTACCTGTCACTCAACGCGTTACCAGCAACACCACTCCTCCTTTGGAGTCGTGGTGTTGCTGCGTAACGCGTTTCGTGACAGGTAAAAGTATTATCCGGTAATCCTGAAACCTCTTGTGGTATTACATTCGATAATCCGCGTTGAGCGCAACTAAATCTGTTTCCATATTGATCAACAGGCTTATACGGTCTTCAATTTTTTGTCCCCATTCATCCGTCACTTTGACCATAGGATTGCGTCTTTCCTGGGATAACTTCATTTGTTTTTGTGTTAAAGAATACTTTTGACTAGCTAAATTTGAAGGCAACTTTATAAATTTTCCGTAATTCCGCTAAAAACGCGTGGTTTAGAGAAGTTGATGATAATATTTTGGTAATAAATAAGTAAAACTAAAAAAATTCGAAAATTTCTAGGTTTTTCGACCTCGAGGTCGAAAACCGAGATTCTAATCCACAAACGACATGCCAAAATATCATCAACTTCGGAATACTTTCTAGGTATCCCCTTTATTTATTACTTTCCTGGCTGGCCTATTATCTGTGAATTGAATTCGAATAAGTTGATCGGATGATTACTGAAACGCGAGTCAATAGTAAGGCAGTGAGCTGTGATTTCGTTTTGAGATTATTGATTATTACCTAGTTAAAGAAAGTGTTGTATATATAGTGCTAGTTTCGTCGTGATTTTGGTGTAATTATTTTGAACAAAGGTAAGTATATTTTGGAAGAGTAATCTCACTACTTTTCAATGAACATGCTTATATAACAATACTAGATGATCTACTACTAAGTGTTAAGTACTACTAATCTATAGTGACTGAAGTAAGACACCTAGAGCTTTACCTAAAATGGGTATGGATATGACACTTACCATTGTGCGTCTTACCTTTTCCCTACTGCCCTTTTTCTAAAAGTAAAAAAAAAGTAATTGATTAATATGGCTGTTTGGTTAATTTGTTTATTATTTTTCTTTGAATTCAATTTTTGTTATATATTTGATCACATGTACGCACCTTTAGAGTAATCTGTTGTTTTTATATTGTACGACGGAACGCAGCGGACAGGAAAAAAGAAATCGCCTAAATGAACAAGGAGAGGACGAGTCTGTCTGTCATGTCTGTCGTTCGAATTATGATTGATAACTACTTCTGATTTTTTAACAACAAAATAAACACGGCAGTTTAAAATAATTTATTTACGAGTCGTTTTATTTAAAAACATTATGGTCCTTCGAGCCGGATCTAGTGGAAAAAAGTGAAAACTACGGTCCTTCGACTGTTTTAATTTGTAAACTGTGGTAAAACTAAAAATTACGCCATAACCTAGAAAGTCCCATGAGGGGGGCTGGAGCCCTAGGCCTACATTGTAAGTGAGCAACGAGCATGTTCAAAAAAGTTATACTTCACAGTGGACCACATTGAATTAATGTATACCTACAAGCAAGGATAAAATTGCTAGGGTGCTGCAGTGGTGCTTCAATTTCGCTGTTTGACTGTTAATAAGAAGTAAACATATGGAATATTAGTCAATTATCAAGCCACTGGAAATTTCTGTAAGTGTGTATCCTTTTTTTCTGGTATCCTATGTATGGGTATATTGTAGATTGCTTCCATTTGTGTTGAACTACCTACTTTGTTATTCCTTTTCTTGTGAAGAGAAAAATAAAGGCATTTCTTTGTATTTGATATAAAATTTGTACAAAATGTCCTCAGAGGAAATAATCAAACTGAATAAACAACGAGGAAACTTGAAAGCCCGTTTAACGTTTTTTGGTAAATTTATTGCAAAACATTTCAATTCTGAGGGTTCTATTGATAAAGACAAATCTGATCAAAATTTTGTACAGCTACAATTGCGTCTTGAAAAAATTCATACCATTTTAGAAGAGTTTGAGCAGATTCAAAATGAAATTGAGAATTTTGTTAATGATTTTGATAGGGAGTTAATAGAGCGTCAGCAATTCGAAGATGAATTTTACGAGGTGACATCCAGGGCTCAAACATTATTAAATAATAATAATCAAAATGATTCTGAAATTATAAATGGAGATGGAGCGTCCAGGGCCGGCTCAGGCGGTTCAACAGGCGGCTCCAATAATACACAAAATTCGGTTAATCTGAATTTTAATGTTCGTTTGCCTCAAATACCGTTGCCTAAATTCTCTGGGGATTATCAAACGTGGATGGAATTCAGGGATACGTTTCAATCATTAGTGCATAATGACAGCCGTATTCCACAAATTCAAAAATTTCACTATTTACGGGCAGCTTTGGAAAACTCTGCTAAACAAATTATTGAATCCCTGGAATTTTCAGCAATAAATTACCCCATAGCCTGGGACCTTTTATGTCAAAGGTTCAATAATACAAGGTTGTTGGTACACAACCACATTAGGGCTATTAATGACATTACACCGATAGCCTATGAATCTGCTTCTGAGTTGAGAAAGCTCATAGATACTGTTGGTAAACATTTGAGGGCACTTGATGCTCTGAAGCAACCAGTGGATCACTGGGACACTTTGCTTTTGTATAACTTGTCAGGTAAGCTAGATAAGGTCACAGTGAGAGAGTGGGAAAATTATAAAGGGAAGAATGAACTGCCTACCTTGGAGGATTTTAAGGAATTTTTGAGAGGCAAGGCTGACCTTCTTGAAACCCTCGATTTAAATCAAACCTTGAATCAAACTGTTTCGAAACCAAAAGGTAAGGATCATTTTCAACCTAAAAGTAAATCTTTTACTACCACCAATGCTTCTTTAAAGTGTGAACTTTGTCGAGGCACACATACCATTTCAAAATGTGGAAAATTCTTGGCACTTTCGATTTCTGACAGAATTGCGAAAATGAAATCCCTACGTCACTGTTTAAATTGCTTAAAGCCTAATCATTCTAGTTTTAACTGTACATCAAGTTCATGTAGAACTTGTGGGAAAAGACACAACACACTTTTGCATATTATTTCGACAACTGCGTCAGACTCTTGCAAGCAAAATGCCCCTAGTGATGTGAATAAAATTGAAACAATAAATGATTCTGAAACGACAGTGGTTCTAGCAAGCCGATCAACCCACAACACAAACCCTTGTGAAGTTTTACTTTCGACTGCAGTTGTTTATGTAAGGGATTTTTTGGGCAACTATCAGGCTTGTCGTGCTCTGTTGGATTCGGGTTCAATGTCTAATTTTATTTCAGCCTCTGCCTGTGATAAATTGGGTATTGAAAAACAAAAATTCAATATATCTATTGTAGGTATAGGTCAAAGTTCTTCTAAGGTGAATGAGAAATGTTTGATCAATATAAAATCATGTTATGACAATTTTCAGACGTCGGCTTCATGCTTGGTGATTCCTACTATAGGTGATAACATTCCCATGCAGCCCATAGATATAAAAAGTTTTAGGGTTCCTTCTAATATTAAACTAGCAGATCCTGAATATTTTAAACCTAGTTCGATTGATATTTTGTTGGGAGCTAGCATTTTTTGGACGCTGATGTCTACAGGCCAGATAAAGTTAGGTAAAACAATGCCAATTTTGCAAAATACTCTCTTGGGGTGGATAATATCTGGCCTAGCACCAATAAATGTATCTGAACAAAGAACCGTATGTAATTTGTCGACAACAGGAATTCAGGACCAACTAGCCAAATTTTGGTTATTAGAAGAGCCTATTTCAAATAAATCGCCCGAGTCTGAGGAGGACAAGGCGTGCGAAACTCAATTTGTGGAAAATGTGCAGCGTGATGCCAGTGGTCGGTTTATGGTTGCAATACCCTTTAAAGAACCTATTGACAAGCTAGGTGATTCTAAACAAGTTGCATTGAAAAGATTTTATTTATTAGAAAGTAAGCTCGAAAAAAATACGCAGTTAAAACAAGAATATCACAAATTCATGTCAGATTTCGAAAGAGCAGGATATATGTCACCATTAAAAAATACTGATAATGTTATATCATACTACCTATGTCATCATGGTGTCATCAATACCAATAGTACTACCACGCGACTGAGAGTAGTTTTCGATGGTTCGTGTCCTTCGGACAGTGGTTTTTCTCTAAATCACTTGCAATTTGTTGGTCCACAGTTGCAAGATGACCTGTGGTCAATTTTGATTCATTTTAGGGCTTACAGGGTTGTCATTTCTGCTGATATTTCCAAAATGTTTCTCCAAATATTTGTCAAGGAAAATCAACGAGATCTCTTGCGTATTTTTTGGAGGTATAGCCCTTCTGACGAGCTAGTTATGTATACGTTGAATACTGTAACTTTCGGTTTGACCTCAATTCCTTTTTTAGCAGTTAGGTGCTTGAAACAGCTTGCACTTGAGAGTGCTGAGACACATCCAAGGGCTTCGCAGATCATTTCCAATGGGTTTTACATGAACGACCTACTCTCAGGGGCTAGTACTGAAACTGAAGCGCAGGAAATATGTCGTGACATTTCTAACATCTTGAAATCAGCAGGTTTTGAGTTAAGGAAATGGAATTCTAACTCCGGAAGTGTCTTAAATTTCATGAAAAATTTAAATTCAGGTGATAGCTCGAATATTAAGGAATTTGGTGAACAAAATCAGTCCAAAACTCTTGGTTTGTATTGGGATAGTAGAGAAGATATGCTAATGTTTAAGGTAGGTAGTCTTGAACCCAGACCTGTCAGTAAGAGAAGTATTCTTTCAGATATAGCGCAGATATTTGACCCCTTGGGGCTTGCAAGTCCGTGTATAATTATTGCGAAATCTTTGCTTCAGGGCCTATGGTTGGAAAAGTTATCCTGGGATGATGAGATTCCTCCAGTTTTAAAAACACTTTGGCTGCACTTTCGAGAGGAATTACCACTTTTAAACTCCTTGAAGATTCCACGTCATGTTCTTTGTAAAGATCCTGTACTCCGAGAGCTGCATGGATTTGCCGACGCTTCACTGAAAGCATATGGGGGTGCCATCTATATCCGTAGTGTAAGTCAAAACGGACAAATTGACGTTAATCTTCTATGTTCGAAGAGCAAGGTTGCTCCTATTAAAGCCTTAACGGTTCCAAAACTTGAGTTATGTGGGGCTCTTATTTTGTCACAATTAGTCAACAAGGTTCAATCAAGCTTCGAATTTAAATTTGACAAAGTATTTCTTTGGTCAGATTCAACGGTAGCCCTCAGCTGGATTCGATCCCCGGCGAATCAGTATCAAATATTTGTTGCTAACCGAATTTCACAAATTCAATCCTTGACGGTTCCTGATCAGTGGCATTACATCAAAACTAATGAAAATCCTGCCGACTTGGTTTCTCGAGGTGTTTTTCCTAGTAAATTGATTAAAAATAGTTTGTGGTTTCGAGGTCCAAATTGGTTGGGTGAAACCCAAGAGTCCTGGCCAGAAGAACAGCTATCATTGCAAGATCCCCTTCCCGAAAAGAGGAAAACAACTGTTGCATATGTATCCACATATTTAGAACCTTTCACGGAGTTTCAAAAGTTTTCCCGGTTTAAGAAGCTGAAACGCGTGTGTGCTTATTGCCTCAGGTTTCTGCATAATACAAGGAACAAGAATGATTATTTTAAAGGTCCTTTATTACCTAACGAGTTAGAGCAAGCCACAAGTTGTTTAGTTAAAATTATTCAACGCGAATCCTTTTTAACCGAATTAACACTTTTGAAACAAGGAAAAATGTTACCCAAAAACAGTAGTCTTCAAAAACTTAATCCGTTTTTAGATTTGAAAGGGATACTAAGGGTTGGAGGTCGTTTGCATTTATCGAACATTCCTTATAATCAGAAGCACCCAATGCTTCTTTCCTCGAACCATTTTATTACACGAATACTGTTTCGGGAAGAACATTTGCAATTAGGTCATGCTGGTCCTAAGTTGTTACTTTCGTCAATAAGAGAATCTTTTTGGCCAATTTCCGGCACCAATTTAAGCAAACAAACAGTACGTTCGTGCATTAAGTGTTTTAGAGCCAAGCCTGCATTTATCACTCCTATAATGGGCCAATTACCGGCAGATCGGGTTATTCCTCAACCACCATTTTTTACAACTGGTTGCGACTATGCCGGGCCAATATTACTAAAGCAAAAGCAAGGTAGGGGAGGCATAGAAATAAAGGCTTACGTGTCAGTTTTTGTTTGTTTCACAACACGTGCCATACACCTTGAATTGGTTACAAGCTTAACATCTCAAGCTTTTGTATCGATGTTTAGACGCTTTACCTCACGTCGGGGTAAGCCTCAGAGAGTTTATTCGGACAACGGCAAAAATTTCGTCGGAGCACAGTCTGAGCTGGCTGAGCTAGGACAGTTTTTAGAAAGCAATGAGTCCGATCTTATAGAATCATTTTCGAATGAAGGCGTTCAATGGTCTTTTATACCTGTTCACGCTCCACACTTCGGTGGACTTTGGGAAGCAGGGGTAAGAGCTTTCAAGTTTCATCTGAAGCGCATTTTACCGGTAAACTTAAAATTAACCTTTGAAGAGATGATGACAGTGCTAACACAGATTGAAGCAATCCTCAATTCTCGCCCACTGGTCCCATTATCCTCTGACCCCTCTGATTATGATGCCCTAACACCCGCACACTTCTTGATTGGCCGAAGATTGACGTCTTTACCAGATGCGAATGTAATGGATATAAATGAAAATAGACTTTCTAGATACCAAAAGGTGCAACAAATACAGCAACTTTTCTGGCAACGCTGGTCCACAGAATATTTGCAAGAATTACAGCACCGCGTTAAGTGGAAAACTAACCATCAGACATTGAAGGTGAATACGTTGGTATTGGTTAAGGACGATCAAGCTCCTCCATTAGCTTGGAAGTTAGGTCGAATTGCTATTATTCATCCTGGACCCGATAATGTCGCTAGAGTAGCGACAATACGCACAGCAGGTGGACTTATTAAGAGAGCGTTTTCTAAACTGTGCCCTCTTCCCATCGATCCTGAAGAAAAGGACAATTTGTGTGTGTCAGCAGTTCAGTCAAGTGAAAAATAAAAATTGTGTCGTGTTAGATATAGGTTGTTGATAAATGAATCATTTTGCCCCTTTAAATATGTAAAAAAAAGCCTAATGTATTTTGAAAGGGATCCTTTCAAGGCGGGGGGCATGTTTGGTTAATTTGTTTATTATTTTTCTTTGAATTCAATTTTTGTTATATATTTGATCACATGTACGCACCTTTAGAGTAATCTGTTGTTTTTATATTGTACGACGGAACGCAGCGGACAGGAAAAAAGAAATCGCCTAAATGAACAAGGAGAGGACGAGTCTGTCTGTCATGTCTGTCGTTCGAATTATGATTGATAACTACTTCTGATTTTTTAACAACAAAATAAACACGGCAGTTTAAAATAATTTATTTACGAGTCGTTTTATTTAAAAACAATGGCAATAATAATTTGTAACGAAGTTACGAAATTGTTTCTTTTGCTTCAAAAGGTATCGCGAGTTTAAGTGCATTCTCAATGATCAAATAAATTAATAATTTGCACGTGACCTTGCTTTGAGTTACGATTCCCTGCCGCTGCGCCAGCACATGCATCGCTTGGTGGCGCTGTGGTCTTTTGCTCATGCTGGCCAGACCACCACCGACCAGCCGAAGCCAACACTATAGTAAGCCAGCGGGATCGCCCAGTAACCGTCCCCAGAGTGCCGCGTTTCAGATTGGGTAAAAATATGATAAGAGACAGTTTTATATTTCCTCCATTTTCTTTTCTTCCTCCCTTTTTTCCTTCACACTTGGTTGATGTCCGGGTGACCCTTTTTCTCCACTCTTGGTTGATGTCCGGGTGGTCCGTCTTTCCTGCAATCCTCGTTGATGTTCGAATGCGTCCGTTTCCTTCACTCTTGGTTGATGTCCGGGCTACCCTTTTTCCTCCACTCTTAGTTGATGTCCGACTGATTTTCCGATCAGGAGCTGGTATAAAATACGTTCCGTGTTCATTACGTGTTAAAGGGACTGTTGTTTTGGTTTCTTTCGCGCTTGCAAAACTTGCCTGCCTCATTATTTTAACCGTGACCGCTACATTTTTGGTATTCCGCTATCAACATTATTGCTTACCTCTTATATCCGCTTACCTCACCGTTTTTCTCATATAGGCAGCCGTACTCGCACGCATTAATTGCTATATTTTGTGTTTTGGGTATTGATAGAGAATGTTTTAGTCTGTAGGCAAATACAATATGTGCTATTACCGAATTTGGTGTTTGATTTTAACACGGAGCTTTAAAGGAAATTTTCAGGGTTTTATTTTGGGAGGTAGTTAGGTTGTGCAACAACGTCTGATGTGACCCCTGGGTTACCGTTTCTCCACTGTAACAAGCTACCTGGTGCACGTGGGCCCTCAGCTACTTTAATCCTGAGGGTGGCACCCGAGATAACCATAGAATAAGAAACCGATTACCGAACTACTTTGCTTCCGTACAAAAGCGCCTTACCAATTTGGTGCCCGAGCAGGGACCCAACGCAATTCAATGACGTCAGCATAAGACCGAGGCGATTTCGTCATCATCAGTCCTCAATTTCTCCGAGAGGCCGTTTGTTCTGACGACCACCTGAGGTCTGTCCGTTACCATACCGTTGTGATGTGATTGCCGGACCGCATATCGCTGGAGCGAATGAACCGCTCCTTTTGGACTGTTCCGCGTGCGCCTTATCGTTTTCCCCATAAATTGGAGGACTGAGCCAATGCCGTCCGTGGTTCATCCGAGGAAGATAGTTCCTGTTGTATTTCGCACCGCATTAAGCCCGGGACACATCTATCATACATTCTTCCGATCCGACTCCGATCATACAATCAGGGTCCTTATTCTTGGAACAGAGAGCAGTGCTTCCAGGCGTTCTCCTGGGAACGCTGCTCGCCTATTCCAAGAATAAGGACCTTGATTGTATGATCGGAGTCGGATCGGAAGAATGTATGATAGATGTGTCCCGGCCTTTAGACCGAAGTTCTCTGTTTTGGGAGGTATTGGTATTGGCATGCGCAAACAATCTTTGTTTTGAAATTTCGCTAATTTTCGAGTAAACCGAGGTCGCTGATATAATTATTTTTTTTCTCTCTTTTCCCTCTGAAAATTTCCCTGTTGATGCAGTTTGTCAGAAACCGACCGCTCCATTGCTAGTTCAAACTTCAGAAAGCGATAAAGCTTCACACCAAACCATTTTCCGATCCATCCATTTTGCGCATGCGCTACTTCTGTGTCATACTGTATTCTGCGACAAGAATTATTATTGTATCATCTAAGAGTTGCCATATTTCTTAATCAGTCTGAGGATTTCGAAACTTGACCGAATACTAAACGAGAAGAGGAAGAGTGTGCGCATCCGCTGTCATTTAAGAAGAATCTTGCTGGTAAATCGCTCCCCAGTTCTTCAAAGCGTATAATACTGAGACAGTTCTGACCGAGCGCAATCAATCCACAGATTGTTAAGCTGTACACCCAGCTCTAGATCTGTACCGCCATAGTTCCCACCGAGCCACCAGACCGAGAACACTAAATCCGTAGATTGTTAAGCTGGACACCAAGCTCTAGAGCTGTACCGCCATAGTTCTGACCGTGCCTCAGACCGTATTAGGCTGGAACCAAAGTTCGAACACTTTCAACTGTACCGCCAGTAAGAACAGTTCCGACCGAGCCTCCAGCCCGAGAACACCCTATCCGCAGAGTACTAAGCTGGACCTTAAACTCGAAAACTTCGAACTGTACCGCCAGAAAAAGCAATTCGACAGTGTAGTGACGTTGACCACTTCAGTTCCAACCGTACTATCGAGTGTAAGCCGTAAACATGCTGTAAGAAAACCGCTGCAAGCCGTTGTTGAGTAACCTCCTTACCCGTATTCCGCTACTGTTAGAGTTACAATGCCAAAAGGCACCGGCAACAATGGGAACCCACCGGTTACCAGCAAACCTAAAACTATCTCTACCACATTTTTACGCGGCGCGAGGAACTCTGGGGACTGTTACTGGGCGATCCCGCTGGCTTACCTCGGTGTTAGATTCGGCAGATCTTTGGTGGTCTAGAGGTCCCAGCATGACCCAGCATGACCACAAGACCACAGCGCTTTCCAGCAAGCGATGCGTGTGCTAGCGCGGCGGCAGGGATTCGTACACTCAAAGCAAGGTCACGCGCAAATTATTAATTTATTTGATAATTGAGAATAATATGATTGAAATATGCACTTAAACTCGCAGTACCTTTTTAAACAGAAGAAAAATGTATTTAACTTCGTTACAAAGTACCTATCAATTATATAACTTGATAAACATTTCGGGTCCTGATATTTAATTATGAGTGATACAAAGGTTAAATTGGAATCCGTTATTGAGCAGTCCAACAAAAAATCTTCACAAGCGAATTGAGGAAAGAAATAGTTTTTCTTTTTACAAATTATTTTCCACCCCTCCGACGCAAAAAGATTCGACTAATAGAGTCAGACTGATAAATTTTGATTTGAAATATGAAATATGGTTTCTCTGGAACAATTTATCATGGAGTCGCCATGATAAACAATAATAATTGACTCAGTGACATGTTTGGAATACAAAATAGCAAAAAACTTCGTGAATATCGATAGGAAACTTTATTCTCCATAACTTTTCCAATAATTCCTAGTTTTAACGGACCGAAAACAATATGGCCAAACAGCTGCGGCTTCGTGCTCAAAATTATAGCGCAAGAGACAATGAAGTGGTGTCGAGAACTTGAGAAGTCAATAAGCATACAAAACTATGGCTTTATGCTAGTTGTCAACTCTGTTCGAACTTTTGCAAGGTAATTAATAGTGGGGACTCAAATATTGTGTATGTTGGTCAACATACAGTCGACGGTAGTCCATTATAAAGACAAGGGGGTAAGATTTTCAAATGAATTACAAAAGCTATAATAAGAAAAAAACTTTTAAATTTTTTTTACCTGTAAACTAAATCTTCTGTGTTGTGCTTTTCTACCTCCGCGTCTTTTCGATATGTGTGGGTTGTCTCTACAAATAGTTTTGGCCTTGAACATTTCTAATTGCAAATAAAGTCGTTTAAGCTCGGCCCTGATGTCGTCCGGATTCATGTCGGCGATTGTTATTTCTCCTATCTCAACGTCGCTGTTGTTACCGGATAAATTTCTATGGGAAGTTTGATCCTGAAATTAATTAAATCCGTGATAGTTTGTATTGTTGCCGTAATTGAATTGTTTACCTTGAAAGCATCCAAAGGAAATCTGCAAGAATACTCTTGAGCTAGCGATCTAACTTGTTTCTGCTGATACCAGAATTTCGGAAGGAAAATTAGAAGCAGCGTAACTGTTTGGGAAAGTTGTGATCTGACGCAGTAAATAACTAGCACCACGTCTGGATGGAGTTCGTTAAGGATAAAAATCCTCGCTATATAGAAAATAACGCTGATTGCTAATTCCAGACTGATGGCGGCGCACAGGAAGTTTCTTTCCTAAAACAAATACTTATTTAAACATTGAAACAAAATTTTTGAATTATTATACTGTTCATTCTGAGATTTCATTCAATTAACTTTAATAGAAAAAAATTAATCAGTTCTAAGTTGTGCGCAAAACTATACCGCTCTAATTTATTTCAGACGTTGCTTGCATAATTAAGTTAAAGGTAAACCGTGTCATTTGCAAGGCTGATCGCGCCGGCAGATTAATTAAATTTCCAAGAAAGATGGTTCTTCGCACTTTAAGAAATTTACCGTTTAAAATTGAAAACTGAAAGATATAATTGCAAAAGTTTAGACAGATATATTTTTCACTTGAACATTTTCAATACAGGGTGTATCAGGTTTGACTAAAAAAATTTTAACACGTGAAAATATGGCCCATTCTAAACAAAAAAAGTTTACACAACATGGGGTCCAAACTCAACCATTTTTAAGAAGAAGACCTTTGAATCTTTGATATTTTTTGACAAAGATTTGAAAGATAAAGGAAATTTTAGTTATTATGAGATGTAAAAAAATTTAGTTCATCCAATTTTTAGGTAATTATGCATTTTACTGGTACTTCTAAACATCTGGCAACGTAGCACAGAGAGAAACTTGGTTGAACTGTCTATGGTTGAACTGATGATCTTGATTTGTTTTGTCATGTCAGTTAGTTGAAGTATTGGAAACGCGCGTAATTCATTCTTTTTTAAGAATAAAATATTGACACACGTCGAATATGCAGATATTTGTTTAGGCAGAATAGTTGCAAAATGCTCATTCAGCCGCCAGAATTTACAGGGAAAGATTTCCCAATAAAAAGGCACCCATGAAAGAAATTGTGCCCGTTTTACAAAGATTACGTGATACGGAAAATGTGAGTGTGCAAAATCTTCGTATTGATTTCAGCGTAGATTTGTAGTGTTTTGAGAACCTTTTAACAAATTATTATTAAATTTATATTTTCGTAAACAGGATTTGGCAAGTAGCTGGTCAAGTATTATTTAATTTTTCTCTTAAATGTTTAGTGCAAAAATATCATTATTGAGTGCAATTCACAACTTCATAAAAACGTCATATTTTTTATTTTTTCTAGAAAATGCAAATGATTATTTAAATTATTTGCACCTTGCAAAAAAAAAACCTTTCAATTCACCATTTTTATTTACATTTATATCCTGGCAGAGATAATATCTGTACAATGTTGTCACGTTAAAATTTTTCTAAATTTAAATTCTGCGATAACTCCGAAAGTACTAACAATTGTCTCATGGTTAATAGGACAGTTTAAGCTTGAAATGGGCCATATTATCTCATGTTAAAATATTTGTACTCATACCTGATACACTCTGTATAATAGGTTTTTGCTTACATGAAATTGTGTCCTGGCGTTCCTGCTGGCGTAGGCCAAATGGATTCCAAAAACTAGAATAGCAGCTTCTCCTACTTCAGTTACGTAGTCCCACCATAAATATTTACATCCCTAAAATAATAAAATTTTACATATCAAAAAGCATTAACTTTTCAATTTTAACAGTATTTTATTTCTAAACGTTTTGTTGAGATTTATTTATGTACTTATTTTAAGAGCTGGCCAATTGCCAAACGTTGAGACTTGTGATACGTAGGGGTCCAAAAGGCGCCTTATATTTTGATTTTTTTTTGGACTTTAACTTTCATCATCATTAAATGTATACAAAAATAATGTGTGCAGTTTATCTGTCATTAAGAAAATCACAACCTTACATCTACAACAAATTGGTAGGTAGTTATCAGGTTATGGACCCTCAGGGCGGCTATGTAAGATATTATGTAGGTATTGTAGGAAATCAGTAAACAAGTCAGGAAGTCAAGAATAGCTATTTACCTAACAGGTGCGGAAAATGAACTTTTCTGCAAGTGTTAGATACAATAGTTTTTCTACGAGCGTGCGGAAATAAGTATAACTACATAATATAAATAAGTGGAAATTAAAGACGTTAAAACTGATACATTTCTATACAGCGGAAAGAGACCGGGAGAAAGGAATTCAGAGTTGCCGTCATTGTAGACAAGATTAAACACAACATACAGGATTTCAAGGCGATAAATGAAAGGATGTGCAAAACTAAGGTTAAAGCCTGGTTCTTCAATCTATCCATTATCAATAGAAGATCAAGATCTGAATAAAAGAAACATCGAATAACTGGACGAGGCATATGAAAATTGCCCAAGAAACGATATAAAAATTGTCCAGTAAAATGGTATACAGAAAGCGTTCGAAGTGGAAATTGTTTGTAGTGACTTATTTTATATTTTTTGAGGTGTTGAAAACGAATCTGAAGTTGTCCAACAAAAATTTTATCAGCAAATATGAGAAATAATCAAAAAATCAATGAAAATATAGTTTTTGAGTGATTTTCAGCTTATAACTGGCAAAGTAAGCTACTTACGCAAAAAGTGGCTCTGTATTAAAATAAAGAGTAGCCAATTATCATCTAAGTAGAGGTGCAACACAGGTTCTAGGCCAAAATCAGTCATTTTTACATGTAAATAAGCCCCGCCCCCTTTCCAGTACCCGTGTCTTTCATCGATAGCTAGTTAATCGCCGCTGCTTCAGGATCAATGACCTTACCTGGCCCCAAGCGGCTCATCGAACCCACATAGCACCTCGCGACTTGGTTCCTCATTCAAGGAATCTCCTACTGATGATGACGTAACTAATAATAAAATCGTCGTTTCGCCATCATGTCGTCATCCTCGTCGTTGTCGATGTCAGTTACTCGAAATAATTTCTGTATTAAAAAAAATCTGCTGTTTCCGAGGATCGAACCTAGGACCGCTGCGTGAAAGTCAACTCAACTCAACTCAACTCAAAATCTTAATTTCAATAATTACATTATAATACATTTCCAGGTAGGAGGGTTAGGCCCCCCTTACTAAGCTAAAAACATACAACATACTTAAATCTAGGACATGGAACTTAAACTAAAACTCAGTGGGGTGCAGCCCACTGTGCGCACAGTCACGCCTAGCGTGCTGTTTGCGCTGTTTTACGTTGGTTGATGTTGTGACCACCAAGCCCCTTATCCTATCCTTGCTTCTGTGACTCAATTCGGCGTTACCAGGTCGCCCTTACACGCCGTTTTTTATGACCCTGGGGTCGTTGACAAATACCATGAATGATAAACATTGGGCCATTACATTGGCCTGCTCAGAGATATTGGGTGATGCTCGGAGTTGGGGTTGTAGAGCGCCAGCGCCCTTCTGTGAGGAAAGAGTGTAAAAACCTCACTTTTAATTAATTTTATGTGTATAAACTAAAAAATTTTGTGCCTTGTCGGCGGTGGGGCCCAATGGACGTAGGCTCAACAGCAAAGGATGAGCTCTTAGGGTTTATGCGCGTCAGCGCGGGTTTGGTTTTGAGGGATTGAAAGCCCTGCATCATAACCAATTCGGTGATCTGATGGATCACCGATAATGACTTGACACAGGTGGAGGGGATTGTATGGGATGCCAGAGAATGTGGGTTGGAAGGATTTCAAGAATTGCCAGGGGCTATGGGGGTTCGAAGTAGATCGGCAGATTCTTGTAGGGCCGTGTACTATGGGGTTGTCTGGGTCATATCTGATCGCAGTGAGGCTGCGCGTGAGTGGGGAGCCTTGGATCTGTGATCTGTAGAATTTGTCGCTGACTTCGTCCAGGTAGTCAGTGATATAGGAAATGGATGTTTGCACATGGATGTCCCTTATACTGGCGTACCTGGACTCTGACAGGTTTTGGAACCGCTGAAGGCGGTTCCTCTGTGTTCTTGATATGATGTTCCAGACAGGGGCCCCATAGGTAAGCATCGACCTTATGACTTGTTTATAAATTCTTAGTTTATTATCGGGAGATAAAGGGGAGTTGGGACCTATTAGGGGATAGAGTTTCTGCTGCGCACTGAAGGTGCGAGCTAAAGCATGGGAAACGTGATGGTGGAATTTCATTCTCTGGTCGAAGATGATGCCTAGGTATTTGACTTTTGGGGACAGTGGGTTGGGCATGGTGCTATTGGTATGCTTTTTATGGAAGCATATAAGCTCTGTCTTTTGTCCATTAACACCAAGCTTCCACTTATCGTAGTAAGGTTGAAGGATTGCAAGGTGATGGGCTAGTTGAAATTTTGTTGCTTGGGTGTAAAAGGATTGAGCGTAAACAGCAGTGTCATCTGCGTACAGCGCCAGATTTGTATTCTGGAATTTTGGAATATCCGCTGTGTACAGAGAGTACAGCAGTGGACTGAGTGCCGACCCCTGCGGCACTCCGGCCTGAATGGGTTTGGAATTTGAGAGGGCGTCGTCTTGTTTGACGCAGAAAGTGCGACCGCTGATGAATGACTGAATTAGGGAGATGATGTGCAGTGGGAAATTGAAAGTTGCGAGTAATTTGTAGATAAGGCCTGCGTGCTAGACCCTATCGAAGGCGCGCTCCTTATCTAGGAGCAGAAGAGTCGTGTTCATGCGCCTGTTGAACGCTTGGAAGGTGTCGCAGCAGATTTTGGCTGCAAGAAGAGTGGTGTTGTGACGTGGGCGGAATCCGAACTGCTCGTTTGGGAGGATGGAGAAGTTTTCGACGATCCTGTTGACCCTGGACAGGATTAACTTCTCCACGAGCTTGGCAAAGGAGTTTAGAAGGGAGATTGGGCGGTAAGGTTTTTTCCTGGTTTGGGGATCATAACCACTACAGCCATTTTCCATTGAAAGGGAAAATGTTGTAGTTTTAGGATTGCGTTTGTTATTTGCACTAGCTGGACAATAACTTTACGCGGGAGATTTTTGAGGGCTCGATACGGGATACCATCTGGTCCGGGGGCCTTCTCGCTTGGGAGCCGGCGGATAACTTGAGTCATCTCGCCGGGCGTGACAATGAGTTCAGCGAGCAAGTGCTGGGGGATGGGGTATTTCCGAATAGCAAAGGCTGCCGCTGTACGCTCGATTTCTTCCTGTTCTAGGGAGTTTGGTGGGAGACCGGAATGAACCCTCTCTAGGAAAGAAGCCAGAGCTTCCGCCTTGTCTGGGGCAGTGACGCAAGCCCTGCCATTACTAGTAAGTGCAGGGGTACGCACAGGCTGCCGCCTCATCCTTGACGTAAGCCGCCATAAAGAGTTATCTTGGGGACGAAGGTTGTCTAGAGTTTGTGCCCATCTACGGTTCTTGAGCTCGCTGATGCCATCTTTGATGGCACCCTCGAGTTCCCGAACGCGTAGACGATCCTAGTCCCTTCGGAGGCGTTGCCACCTCCTCCGGGTGCGATTCTTCAGCGCGATTAGTACAATGAGCTCTCGTGAGAGCTCTTCGCGGCCTTGATGGACAGTCACCCTAGTGGCGAGGGAAGTTTGGGTACGCTGGACGTTCCTGGTCAGGGTTGAGACCTCTAAAGCGTCTATGGTATCAATTTGACCAGGAACCTGGGTTAGGGTGTTGAGTGTCTGCCGAAACAGGGGCCAGTTGAAGTTTTTATAACTTAGGCGAACTTGTGGGCGGGGAGGATCAAGTTCGCCATAGGTAAAAAAGACGGGTAAGTAATCTGTCAAGGGCGCTAATCTATTAGCCATCTTGTACTTGAAAATATTCCGGCTATAATCTATCACAAATAATTCTAGAAAAAATCTAGATAGACTAAAAAATAATAAATAAAACGAAACAGTATAAGATGAACTTTTAAGACCTACTACTGCTTATAGTGAAAACGCAAGTATAATATCGAAATAACATTCAATGCAACCGCGGCGAAACCATAACTTGTTACTTTCCTGCAACCTGCGCTAAACAAGCTCTGACTAGTCTGTAGCCAATCACCAGCCTCGTATTCACCTGCACACTCCAGCGAATATTTCCTAGAAATATGCGCCATCGTTTTGATTTCATTGTTGCTTATTACGTTGGCATCCTGCGATAAGCAAGTTTCAACAGGAAATATAGTTAGTCACATGATATAAATAAAGAACAGGCTTTAGCTCGTATTCAGATCAAAATCGTCGTTAGTTCGAGTGCCTTGTTGAAAGTGATCAGTAAACTTTTGGAGTGCGCCTATTTTGAATTTCTGTATCAGTGTAAGTATTATAATTTATACAAATATTTTTCTGCAATATAATTCCGTCTCAAATTTTCTCCATGAGGATTTTCCTTAATTTTTGGTTTTGTTGGTGGACATGGTAATATAATTTAGCAATATGTATACTGATGATAGATAATGAATATTTCAAGCTAATGACTGATTTTGGCCTAGAACCGGTGTTGCACCTTTACTCATCTACAATAATTGCCATCTACTAAATTTTTTTTGTAAGTCGTATAGTTTCCACGCAAAAGAGAGTTGACATATTATGATATTTAACTTGTTTGATATTTCACGCCAACAATCAGTCGTGGAGAGACCAGCGGCTTTCACTCTGCAGGTTATAATAGTAGCATCTAACAAATGAAGCAATTTTCACGACTGAACCGATAAAACTCCTTGACA